GCCGGAGCAGCGGGTGCTCACCGTTGGCGAAAGCCACCACCAGCCAGACCATGTCGGAGGCGTTGACGTGCCGGTCGAAGACACAGCAGGGCCTCTCCAGCGTGAAGGTGGTGGCGGTGAGCTTCCCCAGCAGTGCCGCAGGGGACACGTGGGGCACGTAGGGCAGCAGAGCTGGGGGGGCAGGGGTGAGCAGGGGGACCCCGTGCTCCACACCACTTGGCAAGTGCCTGACCCCAGCCCGCATCCACGCTGGGGTCCACGAACAGCGCAGCGGGGGCTCACGGGATGCCAGCAGTGCCAGCACCAGGGGGATGGCACCAGTGTGGGGATCCCCCAGCACCAGGGGGATGGCACTAGCGTGGGGATCCCCCAGCCATGCCTGGCCCCATAACCCCCTCCCCAGCACAAACACCTTGCAAAGACCCCAAGGGAAAACACCTCGCAGCCCCTCCGAGCCCCCATTCCCCTCTGCCCGGTCCCCCCGGGGGAGTCACCCAGGCCTGCAGCTGCGCCCGTCCCAGCCAGCACCAGCAGCACCCACGGCAGCTCCATGGTGTCGTCCCGGTGGGGCTGGATGTGCCGCCCCGCTCTGCTCACCCCGTCCCAGTGCCGAGGGGACGATCCGCCCCGTGAGCCCCTGCAGGAGGGACCGCCTGTCCCAGGGTGCCGGGCCCTCCCAGTCCCACATTCCTGCACTGGTTCTGCCGGCCCAACAAGACCCCATGGGCAAAGGGTCCAGACCCGCCTCCCGGGTCGCTGCTGGAGCTGACTGTGCTGGGGGGCCTGTGAGGATGCGGGGCACGAGCCTGGGATGTGAAAGGGGAAACTGAGGCACAGAGGAGGCGCCAGAGGTACGTTTTAGGACAAGTTGGCAGGAGTTGAAGGTTTTTTCGTGGCTATGGGAGCAGCTGGGCAAGTGGTCCTGCACCCCCATTTGCCCCACCCAGACCTTATTCCCTGCAGGTGCCCTGTGCTCACCCCAATCCCCAGAGCCAGGGTGAGGATTGGGCCCACACCCAGCTGGTTTTGGGTGAAACCAGCCTTGCCCTGAGGGCAGGGAAGTGCTCTTGGAGCCATTACACTCAAAACTCACCCAAAACCAAAACCCCAAGTGTTCAAGGCGAAGGGCCCCACCCAGCACCCAGAGGCACCCAAGCTCCAGGGCCACCCCATGCTCACATTTCGCTGTCCATCCTTCCCCCTTGCTGGCCACAGGTCTGGGCCATGGCCCCCCTCCCTGGGGAAAGGCCCCCCCCCAGGGCCTTGGAATTGGACCAGCAACGGTGCCCCTGGAATGGGGGCTGCACCACAGCCCAGCCCCCCCCGCCAGCCGCTCTCCAGCCAGCGGGGTTTGAGTGCTCCTTCTCCCATGTTTGGCAATGGCAGCAGCTGCCCACTCCTGCGTGGGAGGGAATTCCCCCCCCTTCCCAAAGGGGCTAGGTCTCAGCCTTCAGATTAAGTGGAAATGGGGCAGTTGAAGATTACAGGGTCCAGCTGTGGAGGGGAAAAACAGGCGCAGCTGCAGCCCCCATCCCTCCTCCCTCTTCCAGTCCCTGCCTTATCCCCCTCCTCCTCCCCAGCAATTCCTGCCCCAGCGTCCCCACCAGCAGCATTCCCCCCCTGGGGACACACCAGCCCCCCATCAGCCGCCCCAGAGCCCTCCCTGGCGTTCCCCAGCAGGGCGAGGGAGGCAGGGTGACGCAGGGGGACACTGACTCACAGTTTCAGCCGCTGGCACCCACTACTGGGACTGGGTGCCAGCATACCTGCGGGGTCAAGGCTCAGCTAATAATAACCACCCTGCCGCAAACGAGCCGGCACCGCAGGGAAGGGAGAAACCCCCACCCTGGGTCTCCAGCCAGGGCCAGGGGGATCAAAGTCTTTTGGTCAGACCTGTCTGGTAACATTATGAGTGCTTATTTCGGGCCCCATTCCCTCCCGGTTCCAACCAGCACTGTGGTCATGCTTTCACCCCAAGCCAGCCCTTGAGCCTTCCCCCTCCGCCCACTGCTGCCCCTGCCGCAGGGCAGAGAGGGGACCGGCTTCAAAGCATCCCCCAGCGCAGCGGTGCCCGAGCACCCGGCCCTGCTGCTTTCCAACTCTTTGCCTCCCGCATCCCCCTGCCGCAGGGGCTAAGCTGCCTCAGGGCTCAGCACCGCCATAGCAAGGGTTTTCGGAGATGCCTCACATCCTCATGGCAGAGGATGTGACAGCCAGGGATGGGACGCTGAGCCTGGCCAGCTCACACGGCTGCACCCTGGCCCTGGCCCAGCCCAGAGGCAGGGAGGCTCCCGCTGATTCAGGCAGAGGAGCGCTTGCCGAAGGTGCCTTGGGCCACGCTCAGCAAGAAATTCTTGCTTTGTATGGGGCTGGGTGAGCGCTGCTCACTTTTCGCTTCAATTCACCATTTTGATTGATGGGAGAACACGATCCAGGGATAGAAAGACGAGGTTTAACCTTCAAATCCCTCCCTTTCGCAAGCCAGGGGGTAGAGGAGCAGACACAGTTTCTATAGAGCTCAGCAACACACAGACACATACCTGCTGCTCCTAAGGAGCTCCCAATTTTGCAGCACCTCCAGCCTTGGCTGGGTGTTTGAGGGTTTTCTCCCTAGAACCTGTGGCAGAAGGTAACCAGGAGGCTACAAGCACAAGATGGACACCGGGGAAAGCTCCAGCCCTTGATAGCTCCAAAAACCCTTTCATATTCATATTGGTGTGACAGAAAGAACATTGCCCTTCTGCTGGTCCAGGACATGCTGGTCCGGGGAGGATGCCAAGCCAGCAGCTACCACAAAGCATAGCCACATCCCGATCTCCTGGAGAGGAGGCAAAATGGCAGACAGCACCAGGGCCTCTGATGTGCCAAAGGGATTTAATGTGGGCAGAGCTCCCAGGACTTGCAGCTGAGGCCGGTGGCCACAGGGAAGGGAACAGCCAGAAACAGCTCTTAGAAAGGCTTCAGCTACCAGGTGACAAGAAGCCTGGGGACAATGTATAGCAAGGCCACCAGGACTGGGGCGATACCCCCTTCACAGGGTGCTAGCACTGGTGAGAGGCAGAGTTCATGGTGCAGGAGAGCATCTCTGCTGGCAGCCTGGCATCGCTGCCCGCCGCCCAGCTGGCAGCAGACGTGGGGAGGAGTGTGGCTGGTCACCGCCTGGTGGCACCAGCACTCCCTGCAGCAGCACAAAGCTGTTCAACAGCCTCCTCCCTGCGGAGGCTTCAATCAGGCACAAACAGCCCCACACTGCTGCCGTTTCACTTGAGAGAAGGGGAAGGGAGGGCTTCAGGATGATAAGAGTGGGGATGGCAGCTCAGAGCAAGAGCAGGGGGCTGTGACACTGCTGGGTCACCTCTGCCAGCACCACAGCCACAGGCTGCCAGGCTCGGGTGGTAAAGCATAGACAGCCCTGGGACCAGCACCCCAGCTCCTGCCCCTGCAGACATTCGTGACCCTGCAGCAGAGCTGAGCTTTCCCTGCCTGGATCAAGCATCTCCAGCTCTGCAGAGCAAGAGGTCCTGTCCGTTCCCCAGAGAAGGCCACTAAAGGGGGAGGCACCCCAAGCCATTGGGCAGCAACTTGCCATGGAAATTAAGAGTTTATTACAACCAAGCAGAGATACAGGGGCAGGAGGCTTCGCTATAAGAGGTGCCTCAGAGACAGGGAACTGCAGCATGGCAGAGGGAGGCCCTCGCTTGCTTTCCAGCTGGTGTAGTAGGAGCAAGACACCCATCCTGTTCCCAGGCATTACCAGGGCAAGGTTCTGCCTTCACAAGGGGGTCTGTCACCTCAGGACCACTCTCCCAGCTGCTCCTGGATGTGGCCCTCAACCCTATCCAGAGATGCAAGTGCAGTTTCTACAAAAATATCCTTCCCCCCCCAAAAAAAAAAAAAAAAGACTGTAGAGAGCGCAGGGCTCCTGCAGTACAGTATTATTGCTCAGTGTGACAGGCGGTCAGACACAGAAACTTAAGGCAACAGGAATAAGTGCAGTAGGCAGGCGCCCTGACGCGTGCACGGCACAGCCGGGCCCCCACCCCAGCTCATTGTCTCAGGCAGTCCTCAGTGACGCCCTGGGCAGCCAGCTCTGCCAGCACATTGTCCAGGTAGTTGGGGTCAGGGTAGCCATGGCCACTCAGGTTTGTGTCCATCTCCGTCTTGTGGTGGATCTCATTCCACACTACCGTGTTGCTCTCACCGGTGGTGCTGGAGGTGCCCACTGTGAAAATCAGGCGTCTCTTCCAGGCCACCCTCAGGAGCTCCAGGACCTAGAGGTAGAAGGAAAAAAACCAAAGCTCACCTTCAGCAGCTTGAACCATGAAAGCAGCTTTCCAGAAGCTTAACAGCGTAAATCCTTGCTGTAGCAGGAGGAAACCAAAGATCCCAGCATCAGAAGGAATCTCCCTCACCTCCTAGTTACCCCTGTGGTTCCCCTGATGGGAAGGACCATTCCCTGCACAGGCTGGTCTTCCAGGACTTGAAAAACACTGGCACGAGTTGAGACAAACACACCCACCCAGAGGAAACAGGGATGGGGAAGAGCCAGCAGCCAGACTTTCTGAGCTCAGCAGTTCTAAGTGCAAACCCTTGTAACTGCATAGCCCAAGACAGGCCAGGAGCATCTTCCCAAAAGATCAGACGGGATTTTCTTTAGGAAAGGGATGAAGGAGAGTAAGTCTTCATAGCCAAAGCTGTGAAGCAGCAGAGATCTTCAAAGGCAGAGGGGTTACAGCATAGACAACTACTAAGGATAGCTTAGAGCAATAGTAGAGGACAGCTCCCCAAAGCAACCCTGTTGTCCTGATCCACCAACACAGGGCCAGGAGAACCTGAGAAGGGTCACATTATGAGGGGCGATACCTTACCTTTCTGCCCTTCTCGTTGTCTGGTAAATAACAATAGCGAGGAAAGCCTCTTGCTGTGTAAGGCATCCCGGGGTTGGGGTGCTCAGGGCCCTGCAACAGACAAAGACTTCATTGGCACAGGCACATCCATCTTCACGTGAGCGGGACAATCCCTCAGCAGCAGGATTAGACATAGGTCCATCTCAAAGCAGCTCTTCCATGTAAGAGGAGCAAGGTATTGCTCTGACTTGTTTTTATGGGACACACAAGTATTATGGGTCCTCCAAGAGCTGTCTCATGCTGGGATACAAAGCCAGCTCTTCAGATTTCTTAAATTCTGGTGGGAAACAGCCCCAAACCACAGCTTTTTCCATGTAGTCTGACAACACCCTAAGAGATCACCCAGCTCAAACCTTCACAACCCCTGAAACCTCAGGTGTGGGTTGCAAAACTAGATGCTGGGATCCCTCCCACCTCGTGAGGCAGAGAGGAGACTCAGCCCATGCTCAAAGACATTAGTCTTCAATGTAAGTGAAAGGATGTTGTAGACCCTGGGGCAACCCTCAAAGGGGGAAAAGATCTTTCACAGAGGAGGCTCAAGTCACCCCTATGTTGAAGAACAGCCAGTGCATGTGCTAGCTCCAGACACCTCACGCTGTTCAGTGGTGGGCTGCCAGTAGGTACTGTACTAGATCCCTGTACCTC